TTTTTTTTTTTCGTTTTTTTTTTTCCGTTTTTTCTGTACCTTTCACTCCAACGTCCAGGATGCCCGCGCCCGGTAGTCGGAGCCTCAGCACGGATTGGCGTACCGGTCGGCCGAGGCTTGGACTCGATAATTGGGCCAGGTACTGGTGGTTTAAACCCACAATTCAAGGGGGGGAAAAAATACAATGCTCAAATATAACTTTACTGGTGAGAACCGACTATCTGACGATAGAGCCGATAAAACAAAAATAAAAATCAACCTCCTCAGGTCGAACTCAAAAGTACTATATTGAATTGCCACTGAGGAGTTGTCTTTGACAACTATCTTGATGCAGCCGACAAGATAGTCGGTCTGCCTTAGTTTTGACTTGATGAGACACACTGCCAAAGTTATCAATTTCACCGTACCGCCGACCTAATATTGAGTACGCACACCTGTCTTCACACGTTTTAGTTTTCTTTGATGACAGACTGCTTTGCGGATGATACTTGATCAGGTGCATTACTTGAAGAGTTGAACGTCTAAAAAAAACTTTCCACGTTTGACAATTCACGCTCGCTATTGCGGTGCTTCACCCAAGGCGGGACAATAGTTTTATATCTCTTTGACAAAATTTTGTGCGCTTTGTACTTTCCGCACGGTCGATTATCCCTCAATGTTTCAGCGTAATAGTATCAGCATCGGAGCATTCCGGTACTATCCATTCGATTGGTCCTATCTAAAATGATTTTTTTTTAAAGAAATATTTTTATTATTATTATTATTTTTTTCCGTTGGCTTACGCCAACAGTCACTTTCTACCAACGCCGTGTCCCTATCACCCTACAGCCGCCTGTAACCAGCCCCAGGTTCGAGCCCCTCTTCCCCCCTCCTTTCTTTTGCGTCATCGTTATTAACCAGCCCCGGGTTCGAGTCTCTTTTCTCCCCTCTTATTTTTTGCATCATGTTGCGCAACGGCCATGTAAAATTCACGCGGTAGGTTTCAGCCACGTGATCTCGAAGATCACACAGCTGGAATCGGACCGCGCCATGTCACTTCAACCCTTCGGATACGGTGCCGTCATATTCGTTACCTGTGTCTACGACATGGCAATTTGTTGCGCTGACCAACTGGGTTGGCTCCTATCACGAGAGTAGAAAGAGCAACCCTCCTATTTAAAGGGCTGCGCCCAGTAGGTCGCCCCTCCTTGCAGCTTGGCAGACCCTATGTGGGTTAACAAAGTCAAACCCGCGAACCCGCAACCTCCCCGTTGCAATACCGGAGCTTTGCCCACTGAGCTACCACGCATTTGCTTACCAATTGGTCGTGGGCCGCCTGTCACAAAGGCATCATAAATCATCCGGCTGTCGCAAGTTGCAAGGGCATCGTGAATCAGCCGACTGTCGCAAGGGCATCATTAAAATCAGCCAAAAATCAACACATCCAGTACTGTCTTTCCCATAATAGAATGCATTGTTTTTATACTTACATCTAAAGTTCAACTTGGCCAAACGCAAGCACAACACTGTGCGTCTTATTTGGGGGGCAAGGGCATTAGGGTTGATAAGAGCATCCTGCAGTGGTACGCCTTGTAGTTTTGGATGGCTCCAATCTATTGGTGAGAATCAACCTCTGCTGGAAACCTTTTCCAGGGTCTCATTCATAGATCCTATTTTGTAAGTGTTGTGAGTATGAATGCCACCAGGGACAGTACTAGGGGGTGCTGCTCTTATCACCCCCCTTTGTAGAGGTCGCAGTATGAAAAAAAAAAGGGAAACTACGCGGGAGTCACAAAAATGAGTTATAATTGCACTATGGGCCAAAATACAGTTTCAAAATGCAGTCCGGGCAATGTATACAACCCAACTTTCGACCAGGTTGGGTTCCCGAAGTGCAATTGCAAACTGTACTTTGCGTTGTGGTGGAATTATAACTCACTTTTGTGAATGTACCGAAGTTACCTAAAAAAAGAATGAACTGCTTGCGTTGATGGATTCAAAAGCTAAGCTCCCACCCCCTGCGGAGGTGTCCGAGCACTAAAACCACCAATACCCTGCCCAACTATTGATGCCGAGCCTAAATCCGCCTTGTAGGAAGAAAGAAAAACAAACTCACACATGCCTTCTTTTGGCTGGTGCCACCTAAATCCGCCTTGCAGGAAGAAAGAAAACAAACTCACACATGCCTGCTTTTGGCTGGTGCCACCAACCATTTCGGTCCGGTACTCGTACCCCCCGAAAATGCGGCCATATACAGCCGCATATTTGTTTTTCAAGCTGGGCGGGGAACTGGTGGTTAAAAAAACGGAGTCGCTATCAACAGTGGGGAGGCCGTAGCGATTTCCTAGCTCAAGCATGAGGTCTTGCCTCATCAGGCTTCTGCGTGGCGAAGTGCACAAGGAGGCGTGACTGTGTTTTGCGACTGCCTCACCAGTAGGAATGGTTACCACATCTGCTCCAACTGTATGGCATGCGTGTTGTGTTGGGAGTAGGTGTAGATGTTAGGCAAACCAGGTTCAAGAACCACTTCGTTAAACTTGGCTGTCAGTTTAGAGATCGATGGCCGACTCAGTAAAACCTTGCCCCATCGAGAGTTATTGACCGTCTATCTTTGATGTTTATGAAGACAGGGCGGACCCACACCACTCTTGAAAACTCCTCAGACTTATGTGACAAGCAATCTCACGTTGCGGTGTTGCTTTCCTTGTGGAGTGGGATTAAAATGCGAAA